TGGAGTTTTTGTTGGCAATTTCTTAGGCTTTTTTGTCCACCAAAGAGGAATTGAGGTGGATAAAAATAAATCCAATGCCATTATAGAGGCCCAAACTGCATCAAGTAAGAAAGAATTACATAGATTCTTAGGCCAAGTGAATTTTCTAAGGATGTCTATACCTAACCTGGTAGAGAAAATAGTGGCTTTCTTTTTTACCTTTGCTAAACCTTAAATCAGAGGTGGATTTCATATGGGAGGCTGTTCATCAGAAGGCTATTGAAGAAATCAAGGAATACTTGGCAAAGCCTCTAGTGTTGATGCCACCAAAATAAAGCCAGTCATTAAAGTTGTATATATCAATAGGAGAAAAGTATATTGGTAGCCTGCTTGCACAAGATAATGACCAAGGCCATGAACAAGTAGTGTATTGTCTGAGTAGAAAATTGACAATGTTAAATGTAATTACCCTTCAATAGAAAAAGATTTGTTTTGATTTGTACTTTTCAACAATAAATTTAAGGCATTATTTACTTCCATTCACTATTGGAATTATAACTCAAGCTAATGTTGTCAAATATATGTTTACAAGACCTCTGTTAAGAGGCAGAATGGGGAAATGTATTATTGTCTTAACAGAATATTGTTTTCAATACGTGCCACAAAAAACAATTGAAGGCCAAGCTTTGGTTGACTTCCTAGCAGACCACCTAAGTGTTTTTATTGAAAAAAACACATTTGAAGTAGGATGTGTAGGAATAACACCATGGAAACTGATGTTTGATGGTTCCAAGAATAAAGAAGATATAGGAGCTAGGATTTTTTTGGTGTCACCAGAAGGAAGGTTGTTCCAGTTTGCCTATCAGTAAGATGAAAAATTGGTTGTCAAATAATGAGGCTAAGTATGAGGCTTTAATCATAGGCGTAGAAATAGCTATAATGAAAATCTAAAACTTGATTATAATAGATGATTCACAACTAGTAATTCGACAGGTGCAACATTGGTATAAATGCAATCATCATGCCCTAGAGAAATATACAAATATTGTACAATCACTTATTCAAGATTTTGAAGATGTTTAGTTTGAACAAGTCATTAGACTCCAGAATTCAAAGGCCAATAAAATGGTTGAAGTTGCCTTTGAATTTAGAATTCCAAAAGGTATGAATGAAAGGAATAACTAGAAGATATAGTATGCATAAAGGCTATTGTCGACAAAGATAAACGACGGCTTCAAAAAGCAACATGTGAAAGAAAAAACTTTATATATTAAAATAACCAAAATAGTGAGATTACACATGTGCATAAAGGCTAATCCTTGCCTCAAAGAGTTAAAAATAAAAAAATAAAGGCCACAAAAATGACTGGCCTTACAAGTCACTAAGATAGGGGAAAGTAAAGATTGAAAGTCTCCCATTCATTTGATAAGAGCCTTAATTGGTGTTGGGCATGCTTTAAGCTTTATGCTGCAGCCATCAATTTACCACCTCAATATTGTTTATTGGCTAGCAATTCCTTAGTATTTAGAATAATATTTTCTCATTCTTGAATTTTCCTAGCCCTATCTTCACCAATTTTCAACAATCTCTTCTTGAGCTTTAATTCATCTTACAACAAGAAAACATCCTCATGCTTTAATTTTTCTACACTTTCCTTGTTGGGGGATATTTGAGGGAGAAAAATCCTTCACGGAATTAATTTAGTTCATTTTGATTTTGACTTCATCTTATAAATAATGAGCTTGAGATATCTTAGTGTGAAGGTGAGCACTCATAACAACCACTTGAGTGGAGGAAATCGTAGAAATTTTAGCCATATAAGAGGCTATGGCAATAGGGTCATCTTAGATAAGTTTATCAAAAGGAAGCTCAAGAAAATTGAAAATTTTTGCAAAGTCTTACTTCAAAGACCCTTCAATGGGAGGGAGAGAAATGCTAAAAGAAGATACAAAATCAACAGCATTTATGAATTCATTTTCCTTCTGATAAACAACCTCAATATCAAAATCTTATATGGAAGTATGAGAAACAAATTAGGGCATAAACTGTAAAAGGAAACAAAATTCTGATAAGTGAAAGCAAAAAAGTGGCACAGACAGGAGAAACAATAGAAGATTACTAGGTTTACAGAGGAAGTAGATGGAAAAGACTTCTTCAGTTGACCTGATTGGTCATAGGGTTGGCTAAGGGTTCATCAATAGGAATAGGATTTTCAAAATCCTCAAAAATAGTCTCTTGAGGAGGGGGAATGATCTCAACAGGAGGTTCCTGACAAGGAATTGAAATGCAACTTTCTAGAGGCAAATGACACATGCATTGTCTCAAAGGAGTGGCAACTATTGTAGTTAAAGTTGGCCAATATGTCATGTTCAGGTCGTGTCATAGCAAGTTTCGGTTCAAGACACCTCAACCTAAATATGACCTGTGAGTTAAACGAATCAAATCATTCGGACACAAACAAGACTGCTTGCCCTCAAATGGGTAGATTTTCACATAGCTCCCAAGCATAAGAGAAGTTATCATGCACTAACTTGAAACAAAATTCCAACGTTGTCTCAAAGAAATTTTTTGGTAATCAAAGATGATTAAAACAAATAAAAAGTTCTTTGAAGTTGAGAGTTTTTGGGTAACTAACTAAATTAAAAGGTAAATTCAAAAAGAGAAAAGAACTAGAAAATCTTTAGATTTCATCCTACCTATGAACATAAATTTATACTCCAAATCCATAACTCATCCAAGTTCATAATCAAACTCCCACAAATGGATGATATTCAATAAAATCTTAATTAGTAAAAATAGTGATTTTGGTGATGAATAAATTGATGGAAAAGTGGGTATCCAATTGATTGCAGTGACTTCAATTATTATTCATACCAAAACCAATTGACTACGAATAGTAAAGGATATGGTCAATCAATTTGGTTTTCGAAAAGCAATTATTCAATCATTAAATCACATAAATCCTAAAAATCTTAATTTAGAGTATAAACCCTAGTTCATAGGTTGGAAATTCCTCCTCCGACTATCTAGAAAAGAAACTACTCACTCATGACTATGAAATTAAAGTAAAGTATTGAAAAATACATAATTGAATTTAATAAATAAGGATTGACTAAAAATTAAGTGAGAACTTAAATGTAAAAGCACCTTGTATTGAAGACTAAATTGAAATTGATTACATTGAATGAAATTGACTTGGAATTGATAAAAAATAATTCTGAAACTTAAGACAAAGAAATAAACAAAAAGAGAGCTACTAGAGAAATTGAGAAGAGTTATAGAGAAGAAGAAAGAGAGGTGGTTCAACGATCCTATATTCCTCCTCCAAAGCCTTCTATTTATGGTGTGTGGAATAAAGATCTTCAGATTCTCTCAATCTCTTTGATGATTATCTTCCCAAAAATATCTCCTCTCCCTATTTGCAAAGAATCTCCAAAAGATATGGCAAAATCAGTCTTACATTAGAGTTTCTTTTTAAATCTATTGTCGACCTACTGGTAGAACATTAGTACCTACAGGTAGAACCACATTTTGTTATGCAACCTACCGGTAGAACCTTGATCTTTGAATCCTCATATCTGCTTCTACCGATAGAATCCTAGATCACTTATCGGTAGAACATATTCAGAGAGTTCTGCTACCTATAGAAACACCTTCTACCTACCAGTAGAATCTATTCCAGAGAACCTTTCTCCCGGGTGAACCTAGCTTCTCCTACTGGTAGGTTACACACTGTCTTCTTGCCTATCAGTAGAAGTTGGGTTCTACCAGTAGATTCTTCATTTTAGCACCCTCCTACTAGTAGAACCTATCTTTTCTGAATTTCTTCTCTAAGACCTCCAACTTCACTTTTAATGGATCTTCCTCAATTCTGACATGTCTAAAGCCATTATCATGATGCCCCACATCTAACTTTAAACCTAGACTATCTGCAAACACAAAATCAAAGCATAAATTGCAAAACAAGTTAGTCTACTAGCAAGCCAAAAGTGAATATGTTAGCTATAAAATAATGCAAGAATGATCACTCAACACACCCCCCAACTTAAACTTTGCTAGTCCCTAATAAACATCAAACTAAGGAACAAAAAAAATCAAAATAGATTCTTAAACATCCAAAGAAATAATCAACAAACACAATTAGACAATTGAATTACAAAGCATAAATTTAAATGAACTCAAGGCACTTAATATTCAAAAGAGATGTGTTCATAATACTTTTCATTAGAAGTGTTCACCCAACCCTACGGGTAGGAAATATTACCTTCCGTCTTCTTGCCCGATACTTTTCGGAAGAATTTTTTTTTGGCCTACCATACCCGATCAGGTGTGGTATTTCTACCCAACTTCCTATCCAATTAATCGGGTAAGAAGTCGGGTAAACCCTCGTGTAGCTATTAATTTTTGGATCATTTTAACAATTCAATTAAATAACATGCACCAATTTAACAACATAATAAATCAATAACACTAAAACATAAAACAACTATAACAACAATTACAATAAAACATAAGAAAGTAGGAATATCAATCCATCATAACTGTTACATAAATACAATAACAATTATTTTAAATTTAAACTATATGAAACACATTAAAATCATAACTACTCCAATAGATAACTAATTCACCACAAATCATATAACCTACACAAAAAACAAGTTCATGTTTTCACAACAAGTTCATGTTAGTAACAATGTTATAATATAAATTATATCACACAAATACTCTCATACTTACTAAAAAAAATATAAAAAAGTTAAATATATTTTTTGCTGGTAGAGTAGGTAGGAATGCAGAAATTGATGGGTATTTTGTATTCCTAACCGATTTAATCGAAAGACCAAAAACTCTTCTGCATTCCTACCTGATTTTTGTGGCTAGCCGTTTAGTAGGGTAGGGTAAGGTAGGAAATTGCGGCCAATCGGAAATTTGAACACCCCTACTTTTCATTATCTTCCAAGAACTAAAAACTTAACTGAAAAATCTCAAAACAAACAAATTCAAAATAAGAAATAAACTCGCAAAATCGTCATTCCCCTTAGTTGCATCCTCGTCATCCTCATCTCCACTCTCATCTTCATTATCCCCCTCCTCTTCTTCACTCTCATCTTGATCCTCTTCAATGTCAACCACAATATATGAAGGAGGGACAATAGTAGGCTGAGTAGATAAAGTAGCTCAGGAAGAATTCCGTAGCACTGGAGATGGAACCGCAGGTAGAGTAACCACAGCCAAAGGCTCACCAAGGTAGGCATTCTCAAATAGTCGACCCATGATCAGAGTAAGCAAATCAAACTTACCCTCAACCCTAACAATAGTCTGATGGCTCTCAGAACTCTCTTTCTCTACACCACTCGTCCTCTCCTCTAAGCTAGAAACTCTCCCAACTAAAGTAGCCTGAGAAGTGGATGGTGGTGCATCGGCAACACCAGCAGTCTGCAAAGCCTGTGTAGCTTGCCTCGCTCTAGACATGGTCGTATTCTTACTTAAACTCCAACTACCAATAGGACCAATATAGGTAGGCCAAAGTACATCAATTAGTGTCTTCTTCACTATGGCCTTGATGTACACCATAATGACCATGTGAGTGAAAGGCATATTCATCTTCAGCTTTACCTTGGCGGCAAACTCCATCATAACAGTCCAAATCAATAATGATATATCAATCCAAGAGTCCGATATAAACACATATAACAAAGCCAACTTCTCCATGCCTAGCTACTTCTCTAACCCTTTCGGATAAGTATTGTAATGAAGGATTTTATTCGCCAGCCTATAATCATCTGTCAATCCTCCAACCCTAAACTTTATGGTGAAAGTACTGGGCCTCTTATACATCGACCCAGCATACTGAATCAAAGTCTTGGGCTATAAATTAGGGTGGGGATAGTCAATCTTATCAGGCTCAGGCCTAACATAGTTTATCATTCAGCCACCACAGTAAGAGGCACCTCAATGATCTTCCCCTACACTATAGTCCTAAGAATCTGCAAATCACTATTAACCACATTCAATTCCCTATAAAATTCTCTACAAAAATTCAAACAATAGCCTTTGACTTCATCAAACCAAGATTTTAACCCTCTAGTCATAATCTAAGCCATAATTTTCGTATCACTCAAAGTCTGTCTATCCACTTGACACTCACAGGTAACGTTCTTAGCATCAATGGAAGCCAAGTGGTCAATTTTTTGCTACTTCTTCTTTGGCTCTTTCAAAATCTTCCTAGGTCCACTCGAACTCGAGGCTTTTTGTTTCCCTGTTCCATACTGCTTCTGAGTAGCGACAACATGTGTCTTTGTATGAGCCATTGCCCATAACACTCAAGGAAGAAATCAAGACCCAAACCCATGAAATAAAATCAAAAAGAAAAGGTTTCATCATACCTCGGTAAGCCATTGACTCAAAATCAACACAGTAGATCTTGATAATAAAAGAAATTGATTGATGCCCAAGCTTTGGAAGAAGATTTTTAAAGTTTCTAGAGAGAAGGAGGAGTGTTTAGAGTGAGGAAAATTTTGGATTTAAAGAAAAACTATGAAATTCCTGAAAACCCCCTTATTTTAATGCCTCAAATCCTAGACCTACCGATAGGTGATGCACGATCTACCAGTCGCACGACCCTCTATTTTAACATCTACTAATAAAACATACACGATCTACTTGTAGAACTCTAGAATTCCTGAAAAAATCCTATTTTATACCTCTTTCTAATTTCTTCTTTTTCTTTTAACAAAACAACCTCAAAACTCAACTAATACCTAATTCTAGTTAATCAAAAACCAAAACCCTAAATACTCAAAAGACATTGATCTGATTTTGTGCCAAATTCTAAAAACATACGCAATATAATTCAATCCAATAAAACCTCAAAATAACATGCTATAGAGTTTAAAACATCACAAAAATAAAAACTAACTAAAACACCAAACCATTTTCATAGGTATTCACAATTGCATTTAGCCTATGCAGTAAGCCTTTCAACTCTTAGGTGATCCCTAGTGGATGAATTTTGTCTTGTGGAGGTTTTCAGCAAATTTGCCTAAAAACTTCTGCACTTTAACTATGTCAAATACATTATTTTCATCTAATCATTGATGGAAACATCAATATGTCAATCAAACTTAAACCAATACACAAATATAGCTATTTTTAGCCCTAAACGCTATGCAAGACTATTCGCACACACTTTATCATCAAGAACTCATGTGTGAGTGCTATCAATTAATTCAAGAAATCTACCAAACCAAATTCTCATCCTTATAAGCTATTCAAAACTAGGTTTGATGCAATTCTCACAAATATGTCACTCCAAATAGAACTCTCAGATTATAATGATTGTTTCACTCAAAGTATATGTCTGCAGAATTTATGTTAACAAAACAAATATATCTCACATATTTCTATACAATGAAAGGCATTATAAAATGAATCAACTTAACATAATCTCATAAAAGAATGCTAAATAAATAAGAACAATGCAATCAGTGTATCCCTTCATTAAATCCAACATATAACTTACTGGCATTCTCAAAACCAATTAGGACTTCATTAAAGTTGTAATGAGGCCAAGGGTAAGAGGTAAAAGAAATAAAGGATTAAGGAATTCAAAAGAGTTTTCCCAAGATAATTTGATTTATTTGGACATGTGACTTCTCCTTTTAGACATCCTCTTTTCTTTTGCTATCACTTCACTCTCTTTTTTCCTTTCTTCACAACCTTTGGCTTTTCCATTTTTTTCACATATTGCAACTTTCAATTCCCAAGTGTTTTTCTACTTCTGTCATCCTTTTTTTTTTTTTTCAATTCCATGCGTTTGAGGGAACTTCCTTGATAAAAGCATAGCAATTATAGGATAACCAAGGTAAGATATTTTTAGTTTATAACTAGCTTGGCTATTATTCATGGCTAAGAATAGAACATTCATTTTAATTCAATCACGGCTTCAAAGGAAAAATCTATAAGAAAAAAACAAGCTACGAATCAAAAATTAATCAAAAGATGACCTAAAATCATTATAGGAATACAACCAACTGATCATACCTTATATTCTAAACAAACCTAATGAGATTATTGAAAAAAAAATTAGATATGAAGGAACTATTGCATGAGTAAATGTCATATACCCCTCCAAAAAGATAGGCTCTAAACTCACGGGGTAATATATTCATCTCCACTATACATTTCAAGCCTTTAAGACAAGAATTCAACCTAATAGATTGCAAGAATTAACTAAACATGGTGTACATAGAATTGAGTTTCTAATGACAAAGTAAGCATGATACTCAATTATAGAATAAATTCCATAAATTAGCCATTATACAAATCAACTCAAATTACAATCAACATGTCAAAGTTTTCAAAGAAGTTTAAAATAAAGGATAATACATTCAAGATAGCTAAAATAGTTTTTTTTTTCCCCTTGTTTTTTATATATAGGAGCAAAAGAAACAAAAAGCAAGCAAAAACAAAAAGTGGTGTAAACCCTTACCCCCAACTTGAATTAAGCAGTGTACTCAATGCAATAGAAATAACCATATGCAATACGAAAAATGAACTGGATAAGGGAACAAGTCACCTGAAATGCAACTCCAAAAGAAAACTAACTGCAAAACCAAAATAAAATGGACTATTAATTAAAATAGAAAGAAAACAACTATCTAACTATTATACAACAATTCATGTGGTAAAAATATCACGCAGCAAGGGGATCCCGAGAAACATGATCAGCAAGCTCCTCGTCAGACTCCTCCAAAGGAAAACTCTCCAAGAATGGCTTCAATCATTGACCATTGACCATTAACCTTGAAAGTCTATCCATACTTTAGGTTTTTAACCTCTACAACTCCATGAGGATAAACTGTGTGGACCACAAAAGGACTAGTCCAATGAGAAAGTAGTTTTCCTGGGAAAAGGTGAAGTTAGGAACTGTATAAAATTACCTTTTGACCTTTCTTTATAAATTTTGGTACTCTCATAGGCATCCCAATATACCTCCTCAAGTTCATTCAAATCCAACCTCGTACGACTAACAGCAAGCCTTAAGTTGAAATTCAAAGTTTTAGTGGCCCAATATGCTTTATGTTCTATCTCTACTAGCAGATGCCAAGCTTTACCATAAACTAGCCTATAGGGAGACATGTCTAACTGTGTCTTATATGCAGTGCGATAAGCCCACAAAGCATCAGTCAACCGAAGTGACCAATCCCTTCTATTAGGATTCACCGTCTTCTTTAGTTTACGATTGATCTCCCTATTAGCCAACTCAACTTGACCGTGGGTCTGTGGGTGGTATGCAGTGGACACCTTATGTGTAATATCATATTTATGTATGAGTGTAGCAAATGACCTATTACAGAAATGCAATCCACCATCACTAATGATAGCTTGAGGCATCCCAAACCTAAATAAAATGTTCTTTTCAAAAAAATTTATCTCAACCTTGTGATCGTTTTTCCTAGTTGGGATAGCCTCTATCCATTTTGACACATAGTCAACCAGCAATAATATGCTCCAACAGTCAAAAATTTCTATAACAAGTATAGGGGTATAGGGCATTATGTTCCTATGAGTCACACCTCCTAACCTTTGACATTGATCACATTGTTTACAAAACATAAAGCAATCCTTAAAGAGCTGGCCAATAAAAACCACACTAGAGAATCTTTGTCGAAGCGTTTTTGGATGAGAAGTGGCCTCCATAAGCCCCCAAATGGAAAAATGCTATCACATCCCTTTGTTCTTCATCGGGAACACATCTCCTCATCACTTGGTCGAGGCAGTATTTGAACAAATATGGATTGTCAAAGTAAAACTGTTTCACCTCCACCAAGAATTTTTTTCCTTTCTTGTGGACTCCAATGAACCAGTAGTTGCCCTGTAACAAGAAAATTAACTATATTAGCATATCATGGCATAGGTAAATTTACAGAGAAGAGATGTTCATCACGAAAAGAATAAGGGATAGGAATACTCTTTGTGTCTTGCAACATCAATCGTGATAATAGTCGGCCACCACATTGTCCACTTCTTTCTTATATTTGATGATGATATCAAACTCTTGAAGTATGAGGATCCATCAAATCAATCTTAATTTTGCATCTTGCTTAGTCAAAAGATACTTCAAAGCAACATGATCAGTGTAAACAACAATAATAGAACCAACATGGTCAGCGGAAGCAACAATAGGTGAACCAACATTGTCAGTGTAAACAAAAATAGGTGAAACAATTATGTATGACCTAAACTTATCTAA